ATAAAGCCATGTTGTCAGTTGATGAAAAACTCTCTGCTGTCCAAAATGCAGTGGTTTGCTTTCCAAAGTGCTGCCAATTGCCTTATTAGCGTCTCTGACGCTACTTTAACTGTGACTGTGAACCGGATTTGGCAATTAACTAATTATTATTGACCTCATAATTTCGATTTCGATGTCGTCTTTGAAGAATTTGACCCGTTTCCTTGGAAACAAGGGCAGCTCTCTGCGTTGTCAATAAACGAGAGCACTTTCTTTAGACGAATTTTCAAGTTACTGTTCTCGATGTGGAGCAAAAAAGCAAGAAAAACCCTAAGAGAAATTTACTACCGCATTATTTGCTTATTTCGATTCATCGATGTTTGTCAGCGAAATTACTCGGTCGTCAATTCGATTCATCACCATTCTTTGAAAGTCATTGAAGCAACAAACGCCAAGTTGGCACTGCATGGAATTTCAAATGATTCAACTTCGCTCTGATTCAATTCGTTCCTAATTCATTTAGGTTAGTTAGCTTTTGTTCGAAATTGTCTAGGCTAATGATCATAATGGCATGTCTCAAGTCTAACAGGTTTTACAAATATCTTCAACTCAGTGGATTAGAGGGGTACATACAGTACTTGTCCTCCGTCTCAAGTAAAGCCTGTATGAACCTTGGAAGCAGCTAAGTCGAGCGTACCCTTGATTATCTGTTGCGGTGAGGACTGCAGGGTGGAGGTGATTCAAAGGTTATTAGTGATGCCTATGAGCGACGGATTCAGTGGTCTAGAATACCCTTCTCGACCTACTAATCGTTGTACCTTCGATGGAGCGGGCGATGGCGAAGATGCCAAGCAGCTGACAGGAGGAGATTCGTACATATGGGGAGGGGGCGACTCTTCCGCTTCTTGTAGAAGAAATAGGCGTGTACTTCGAGAAGACGACGATTGATGAAGTCAGATGAGCCGTATGACAGAAAGCGATGGACTTCATTAAAGGGTCACGGAGACCACTACTTCTGGGTCGAGGAAAACGCTTATGAATAAGGGAACAAACATCACATTCGCATATTCAGTCGTATGCGAATCGAACTGTAATCTGCAGGGTCTGTCAAATGACCCAAAAAGCTAACCTTTTCAAAGGTCTGGGGCTGGGTTAAATGTTAACTTTCTAATGTCGTCAAAATTTCCTAATCACGATTTACTTAGGCACATCTAAAACACTAGCTCTGTCAGATGATTCTCCATTGCAGATCTTTCAGCTGTATCGCACTAAATTTCTATATGGCGAAGATGATGGTAGTTTTGGTTGTTTTGATCGTCGTCATCCTTTCCAGGAACAGCTCAGCTGATGTCAGCTTCATGAAATGATATGACACGTTTTGTCATTTCACAGGCGTATGAGAGGTGCTGAACGATGACATAGTTCAATCATCTGAAAGGGGGTTATAAAACCTCAATGGCTCCTCAGCTACTGAGTGGCAAAATAACTGAAAAAATCTGTTATCTATTCAGAATTGCTCCTTTGTCAACACTGATAAGAGCTCCTGATATCAAAACAAATTGCAGACATTAGGGGACATTATAAAATTTAAGCAGCTAAAAATAATAATGCAACATGATAATGATAGTAATAGTAATACTATGATAATGATATGAATTGTTGCAGTATTTTAATGATAGTAGTTATGACAAAACAATATCCACTAGCAGCTACAACTTATCGAGCCGTTAAGCCCAGAAACGTCCTGATGTTCGACCATCCATCAGACGGATTGATCGCGTTGTGTACTGTTCAACTTTGTCAATGCTTCTATTCAGTATGATTACTAATGCGGGAACAAAATTTTCCAGAGATGAGAAATGGAGTGCCCTTGCCCCTTGCCATAAAAACCTACTTCTACCATGCCCTGTCAGGTCAGTGTTGTCGTACCACTTAGAAACTGTTGTTCTAACGAAGGAGCAAGAATGGTTTAACGCCACGCAGCAGCGTTGATTTTTACACGTAATGAGGGTTGAGTGACAGGATCATGTGAAGATGACTCAATTCTCTTCCGGGCACCGAATAGCAGAGGCAGTTAAGATAAGAGATGTTGACTACGTTATACAAATTGGTTGAGCATAAATTAGTTACTCCAGTCCCCAGAAGTTTTTCGTGCGGGGACCCACAGCACGGCAGATGCAATATTTGGGTCAAAGGTAGAAAGAAATCCGCTTTCAGTTAGGAACACTTCATTATTCGATGTAATAACCGGTGCCCTATGAAAAATTTTTGTAAAGGCGTGAATACACTGAACATCGCATTCTGGTTATGAATGATAAGACTCAAGATAATGATCTCAACTAACAAAACAAAACACACAAGAGGATAAGAGAAAGGTCATCTTCCAGAGACAACGTTTCAGGCGCCAACCGTTTTGTGTAGCTTCTTCAATAAACCGACCGCCTATTAGATTGTGCAACTAGTTATTATCTGTACAGCAGAGTAGCTTTAAGCAAATTAGGCATTACATATTCAACGGAATATTGTATAGGGTTAATGTAATTGTTTGCGGCCATCTGATTCTCTGAGAGTCCAAGAATGAAATGACAAAACTTCGTTGAAACTCTTCCTAATACAAAGATAACCTCTACAGGAATTATGAATACAACGGGAGATCATCATGACGCAACGAATCTTGCTCAGCAATATGGCGGCACAAGTCTTAACACAGACGAAGAGCATGATGGGTAACGGGACAATGTGCCATATTCCCAACTTTCAATCTCATGGTCTTAAATTGCGCAATAAACCAGAGGCATTAAATTAGGTGACTGAGGTGTCTGCATACGCCCATTCTTAGCACCGATAAACATGGCTATTGCCATTCATCCCCCTCATTCTTACACTCATTGGTCAGCAGTTTGGATGACCGCTTGTCCTTTCAGGTCGCAGAGACAACAGTGCCAGGCGGTATCGTCAATTCTGTGCCAGCAGTTGAGTTTGGGAGTCATATGATCAAACCTGTAGCAAAGTTGGTCGAGAAATTTGCCCCAGAATGCTCATGATTTTCCTCGTGGTTTTTTGCTGGTCGGTCGACCAGGAACGGCTATGGCTGTTTCAACTTGTTTTCTGTAAGCACTCACAAACCTGCCATTGCGAACTCATCAATCAAAGTCAAACTGTACCTGGAGAAGGAAAACTTTCGGACTTGTTGCAATACGTGCAATGAATTGGGATCACAGATCAGATTTATCAATGAGAAGTGATGAAACAGGAGAATCTAAGCGACAATGAAAAACGTCTATTGGAGATGTTTGCACATGACAAATTTCTGTTCTGTTGGAACCAGGTTATGGCGAGAGTATCCAATAAATTTTACTTAGAAAATAAATTCGTCAGTTTCATCAAATGAATGGCGAGAGGTGGCAACTCCAGGAGAAAGCCAATTACATCAGCACAGGAATTTATCCTGTTTAAATACTTAGAGAAAAGTTTTCTATCGTTGTTCATGTTTCCCATGATAAAAAAACTCTCGAGGTCTAAACTTCGTTGGACAATTAAAATTAAAAAACAAAATTGCTTCATGAAGCCAAGTGGAATGGTCGTGAGACAAGAACTACGTTGAAGGAACGCCATCCACTGATTGAGCAAAGGTACTGCGGATCGTCTAGCAGCATTGAGCAATGGCAAGGCACAGTTTCGACATCGTTTACCATGGTTCCACGCACGACACTCGCTTTCTTCAAAAACTGTCACTTATGCTGAAGAAAAGCGGACAGACATCCCTCAATCCACAAAGCGATCGTTTTGCCTGTTGGCCAGCAAAAGCCGAATATGTGACTTATGTAACGGCTCGTTCACATTAACTGACAGCTGCAATATCGTCGGTCCGGTTGTTCGCAGGCAGTAATTTAGCATGGAATGCTTTAGCTTAAATATTACAAAATTTATGTATTACTCAAATATTATATCATGCTGTTCCATTTGCATATTATGACCCTAACGATGGCGCTCTGAACCGCGGATCAGACAGTGTCTAACAAAGACGTTTGACTGTTGCTCCAACATGCAACGGATCGGTGCCTCTCTCCGTATTCATACGAGACTTTAGCTTAACTATTAACATTAGGCCGTGAATGGAGCTATGCCAACAGCGAACACTTACTGGGCGAAGAAGACACCAGTTTCAACTCGCCCTTGTGGTCGAACAGCTGTTTGTCTTCGTCATCGCTGCAGTCGTCTTCAGCGTACAACTTTTCGAGGGCGTTGTACTCTAACAGTAAGCGTCAGTTACTCGGATGTCAACGGTAGGAGTAGAGCGTAGTCATACCTTGCTGTGCTTCCCTGGCGGTGACGATCAGTCGGCTGCATGACAGGGGTACTGCAAACGGATGGCAGTGAGCCAATGACGACTACTTATCAACAGTACTCGACTACTCTACCTTTGGCGCAGTAGAATTGCCGGCTACCGGTGTTCACGGCATTGTCCGACAGGTCGATGGTGCAGAACGTGAACGGCGGTTGACAGACGTCGTTGCCGCACCTGTCCGAGTTCATCAGCACCCATGCCTTGTTGCGCGGAGGGGAACCTAAATCACCGGCTGGTCACGTTAGCTTACCATGCGTTCGGAAAAGGCGGTCTGTCGGTCGTCTCACATAG